GAGCTTGAAGATCAGAAGGAGAAAGTGGCAAATAAAAATGTTTTTATTGATCAGTTCTTAATTGTGTTAGTTTGATGCCTATTCTTCGAGTAATGTTCTGTAAAATCACATTATGAATTTACGTTATATTATTTGCGTGTTATAATTTGAAGTGATTGTCTAAGGTTCCATGATCATAGAGGATATTACCAATTGTATACTCGATGGATCGGGTATAGTAGGACACAATTTGTGATGTGATCAAAATTATGTCGTTCACAATCGGTTCATAAAGTTGGACTTTTTTGTTGATAAGATTGTATTGTTCTTATTAAGATTTGTCTAGATCTTGAAATAGGAACAATAATGTGTTTCGATGCACATTGAACGGGACCGCGTAGAAAACTCATTTGTGACCGTTTGAAATGAGACTCTACTTGATTATCAAACATGTTACCTAAATCTTGAGTCAGTAATGTACCTTTGATTGCTAGTTCAAGTTCTTTGAGGTACTAATGAGTGAAGTCTTAAATAGAAGATTGACCTCGGTGCTTTGGGAATCAGGCCGAAACAATTAGAGATCATATACTTACAATATTGGAATCCATTAATCATTGAAATGAGACAATCGTCACTCTAAGATATCTTCTTACACAAATTGAATCTGAGCTCACTAGGTCGACGATGAGATCGTTGGACTTTACATTGTGATTTGATCACAACGAATTTGCCGTATGAAAATGGGACTTAGAGGGTAATGCATGTTGAAGGGCAAAACGGTCATTTTGCCAGCTTCAACATATTGACGGTCAAATGGGGGTTGACTTGTGGAACGATAATCAGAGGATATTGTTATTGGATCATAATTTGTTTCTATAATTATCACTCGACTCGAGAGTGCAATCTCGATTTTTTGGTAGAATAAGCCGGGATTAATAGATGTATATCAATTGGTCAAGAGTTGACCCAGTTGAAAACATCTATTGGAGCTTGGGTCATGTGAGTTCAATTAGGTCCCTCTCTTGGCTCTAATAAAAGGTTTGTGACTTAATTGGCCTACTACAATAAAGTCTAAGGAAATTTGTGCAATTTCCAAACCCTAACAGGTCGTTATAAATATGCACATTGTTGGCAAATTTTGGGGTGATTTTAGGGTTAGCCACTTTTCACATTCCCCAAAAAGGAATAATACCTAGTGGAGAACAAGGGAGAAAATCTAAGGGATGAAGCAATTGGCTAAGCCATTAATAGCTCCTTCGAAAAGGTTATCATCTCTCCTTTCTATATATGTGAGGATTTTATAATCCAATAATCTCAAAGTCAATGAAATCCTTATTTACATGATTTTAATCTTCAAAAGAAAATTAATTTCCTATTGTGATGATTAAAGTTCATTAACCAACGAATTGATATCAAAACCATTTAATTGAAGTTCGGATAGGAGCATCTTGCACAGGTACGGTTGAGAAAGGGCGACTCAATTCGCTTCTCTAATGTCTCGTTTGTTGTTATTTTTGTGAACTTGACCGACTTTATGTTGCACAGGGATTATGTTTATGTAATTTGTTTCATAGATGTCGAATGCTTCAATTTTTTCTCAACTTTTTTGCAAGTTTGATTGTGCCCCTTAACTCAAAATTTCGTCCACTTTCTACGTCCACTGAAAGGTGACTAAGAAACAAAGCATTAATGAAGTACAGAAGTGAAGATTCTCTACCTCTCGCATATGCACAATTTGGTTATCCTGAAAAGTATTCAAATTTCTAAATGATGAAGCACGTAATTGCCAAATATGCATCAATGGTCCAACTATATACCTTATAAATGTTCATACATTCTTTAGTTTCAAACAGCATCCATCTCAGCAATGTAAACGATTATAAAATTAATATTCCTAAATCCCAGCCCTACATAGCTAAACATAAACGTTTATTTACTAAAAAGCTCTAAATATACCTGAAGGAGGACCACATGCGCGGGGGGAATTAAACTTCCGGGATTTGGTAGTCAACAGAAGCCCATTAGAATTAGTGTTGGGAAGAAAATCCAGGCTTAAAAACAAGCTCGACGATTTAGAACCCAGACCCAAATTGCAATAACTGCAGCACGCACTGTTCAACACCAAAAATGCAAGTCGGTAGCAAGAATTATACTCACTTAACAAAAAACTTTATACACGTAGACACAGCTAACCTGGTTAATAAGGAGAAGCCCATTTTGGGTAGGGGACAAGATTTTGTGATATGTTTCTTCACCCTTTTCTTCTTATCTCTCAGTTTCTGGGTGAGTGAGTCAAAATACTCAACTAGCAACGCTCTGATCCTCAGCAATTATTTACAGCGTTGTCAGAATTTAGTTAGGCCTTGTCGGGTCAAAGCCCACTGCTTGGCCCATTTTA